CGTGTACTTTCCAAAGAGCAAATTAGATTGACTTAAGTCGAAATAACGCCTTGACTTGTAATCGTAGCGAGGTCTTGCAACAGCCGCAAGGAACATAACCTCCGTGATGTGATTCTTGTGCTTCGCTAACCGCAGTGCCATTTCTTCGTCTTCATACACATAGAACTTTCTCTTCACCTTGGTCATAAAGAACCATTTTTCATCGACATGAACGAAATCGTACATGTTTTTGAAGACATGGTTTCCTTGTGACCAAGGCGAGAGAAAGCTCAGTGCAAACTTCATGCGGTCTTCCTTGTTCTTCTCCGTCAGCATTGGCTTGATGTAGTTGGACCTTGCTTTAAGGCGTCCATTTTCCTTGATGTGATCGAGAATTGCTGTCTTTGGAATGTTGGTCGCTGCCGCCAAGGATCTCAAAGTCTGCTGCTTAAATTGCGGGACGCGCCTTATGGCCTCCTCGATTTCTTCATTTGAATGCTTTCGTTTCGATCCACAATTCCCTAAGAATAGTATACTGTCAGAAATAATAACATCATAAATTTGTATACATAATGGAAATATTGAATTATAGAGAATTTTACCCTTTCGTGTTGAATCGACATTCGCCGCGATATCGCCAGCTAGGATTGAACGTTGCGCTTGAGCCCAGATACGTCGGACAGTGCGAGAGTGGCATCCAATGAGCTGAGCAACGTTGTTAAATGCACCAATAGGAAGCTCGCCATCCTTTGACGTCGATAGGAGCTCATGGTACACCCGGCGACGCTCCTCGTTTGACAGGTTCCGGCACCTCCCAGTACCGGCACTGTTGAGTGGTTGCGCCACGGAGACAACAGGAGCAAAAGGGATGGTATTGCGGACAAGAGAGCCCATGTTGCGATGCGTGAAACTGAAACCGAGCTCGTGGCGTAGAAAAAACAGGTTATCCGTCAATGCCATTCAACTTTGGCTCTCTCTATCTCATCGACCACAACGAATTTTTCAGCCGAAAAGGTACCCAATCAAAGCTCCTCCCGTGTACTTTCCAAAGAGC